TTAGTAGGTTAATCCTGCCTTCTTTTCTAACATTTTTCATACATTCGACAACTTGTCATTCTTTTTTAAGAATGTTGCATTTGTGACACACTTTTTGGCTCCAAAGATGTTTCATAAAAATCGTCAGAATTGCAGAAGGCACATGCACTTGCTTTGTTGCTTAGGTACAAACTTTCTTAAAATTCATTACAATTTATATCAATGGAATTCCAAAGTCTCGAAGCTATTATCCACTATATATGTATATGGTAATCATTTTACAGTTACCTCATTTGAGTACTCACTTCAGTGCACGCGCTAATTACATGCAGTAAATTAGAATATGTTTGTATGTATATGTGCATATTGACAAGTAAAGAGGTGAATCCGCTTGTGGAACTTAGCAGTTCGCGTTCCAAAAGGTGTCAAAGGTGACGCCTATAACAACCAAGAATGGCGAAAATACAAAACATGCAGGCAGTTAACAAAGTAGAAGCGAAAAGGGAAAATGCCCGCAAATGGCACGCTTTCGCTTTAAACACAGGCGTTCGACATTTAAGCTTAGCACACGAACACTATAAGCTTTGCCTGCAGGAAAAAGTTTCTTAAAGCCACCAATTAAAATTATATTTCAATTCAAATCTTTTGAGTGCATATTTAATAATAAAATGTTGCTGTAATATTTTGATGACGGCATATTTAAATTCTTTTTAATGCTAATGATACGAACAGCCGAAGATTTTTTTAAACTCGCCGGTTGACTGTCGCTGCTAGAATGACTTTTGCAAATTCCAAATTTATTGCCAGAACATTCCGTTTTCAGCCCTGCTGGGCCGCATATTACAAGTGCTGACTTGTATTCTTGTTTGAAGTGCCCTTAAGTAGGCTACAATTGTGTACATGATGTATTCGCTGCAAATCGGTGCAAATCTGTTTTAATGATTTACCTGTTGGTGCTTTATTGAACGTGTGTTAGACGGTGCTTGAGCGCTGCGGGGCCGATGATGGCAATTGGCACCTTAATAAAATAGAATATAAACTTTGACACGACCCTTTCGAACCAACACAAACGAACTCGATGCAAATACTGACTACGCCTGAAGCCCTAAAATGGCGTAATATATTTTTTTCAATTGCACATTGCCATTGTGAACATGCCGCACTCAAGTGTAATGCATTCAAATTCAAGCGATTGTGCGTTACTTGATTGCATTTAAAAAAATTGTTTGAGTTTTATTTGCATAATTATAATGGGAGTGTGGTACGCACTACCTCTCTCAATGTTAATGTATTTCAACACACATGACTTTTAATTTCTTGTGAATGAATTAGAATTGAACCGATTAGACATTATACTTTTTTCTGGCTGAAGAGAGAGACAGACTGAAAAATATCAGCAGAAGATTTTACTGATAAAAAAATTTTGGTATATTGAAATAATTTACTAATGCTTACAAGCAGGACTTATTTAAGAAATTGCTACAAATTCCAAAAAAAAAAATAATAATAATAAAAGAAAAGCAACAAAAATATAATTTTTACATATTAAAATCAAAATCCTTTTATTTATTTTTGTGCAAACAATTATCGAATTCTAATACTCTATGCCTTCGCGAATTTATTTGTTAAATACACGAATATCTAATTTTTGGAACACCTTAAATATTTGAAGCAAAAATTTCTCACCTCCTTGGTTCTAGCATCTGTTTCTTTGGTGTTTTCTTAAAATTTTATTCAGACAAAGCTTCCGTTGAACTTGAATGAATTTGCTATTTTTTGTTTAAAACCGAAATAGCTTTCTAAGAATTTGTACCATTTTTCAAAAATAAAAATCAGCTGACGTCACCAAATAAATTGCTAAATATAATTGCCCGAAGAATATTCTGGACTATTTTTAAATAAAATTTTAATTTTTTAATTTTTTAAATATTTTTTTTTGTCTGTTTGCATATAAATATTCTTCATAATTAACTTCCCCAATGCAGGAAAATAGGAAATTTGGTAATTATTTATTTTTATTTTTAATTTTTCGCGGAAACAGTTACAATTAAGTGCGATTGAATTCGTAATTTTGTTTGAAAATATTTTTGGTAAATAAAAGAACTTCTTTGTTTTGCATGCACACAAATATAATATACTCGTATTCATAATTTGTTGAACTACTATTTGTGACTGTATATTTGTTCAAACAATCTGCCCACATCTATAGCCATAAAGTAAATATACATATGCTTGTATGTGCATTCAGACAAAACACATTAGAGTGCCCGGCAAGCCTCTTAATAAACTTTTAATTGTAGATTTTGAAAAACTCGCCTACATACAAACGTCCAGCAATATGGCGTCTGTGTTTATGTGCAGTCAGAACTGATTTGAAGGCAATTTTTAGAAATTGACCAACTCATTTATAAGGAGCTGATAATTGGCGTAATTGCGGAATGATTTTTTGCTAGTTTTATAAATTTATCGTAAATTATTATTTGTTGCGTTCGAATAGTACTTAAAGCCACTGGATTCATTCAAATTTAGTACCAACATATTGTGCTTCATACTGTGAACAGAGTTGCCAGTTGTTGCTTGTAGATAATTATTTCTGTTGGCTGTAAATTGTCGTGACGTGGACAAACCAATAATATTTATTCAACAAGTTTGTAGGATATAAAACTAACTTTCCTGCAATGGCTTGAGTCATATTCCACGGGGAGACAATCTGTGGTAACAATCCATGAGGTTTCCTTGAAGCATTTTTTTCTCACTACCTGCTTTCTTATGAAATGTTAACTCTTTGTCCTCTTTATTAATGATAAGTAGAGTGTTTTTCATGAACATTATTTTGCAGCCAAGATCTGGGAATATTTTTAAATATAACCCATCGTAAAGCATCGTAAAATCATACATTTTTACACTTGTTTAGAAAAATTGTTGCTGGATTTCATACAAAAATGATATTACACATTTATAATTCTGAACGTTATGTTTTCGAATCGTTATAATTTATAACTTTATGAGACCTGTGAAAACCCTAAATAAAATATAATATCATGGAGAGCGGATATTTTGAAGGTCAAAATAATTTCGGCCAACAAGTATTTTAAATGTAGCATATATTTCTTAACAATTGAATTATGTTATAATTTTAAGAATTTTCTTCCTATATTGAGCTTATTTCTAATATTGTACAAAATTGCCAATTTATTATAACTAAAATGGATACAATAATCTGCACACGATAATCTAAACATGAAAATGAAGAAAATATTCACAAAATTAGAACGGAAGTACAAAGTACATGAAATGAGGGGTGAGCGAATTGGGTCGATCGATTCAGTGCAAACACTATGTAAATGTTAAGAATTTGGTGAAAATATAAGCAATTAACACGCAATTTTCCACCTGCCTGGGTAAGCGCCTGAAACTAGACTGTGTGGACGCCATACGCGATGGGGCGTATAAAAAGGTTTGCTTGTTTAAAGCAAGTGCTGATTTTGATGTACTTTCCTACACATTATATATATGCATATTTTTTGAATTTAAATTCATATAGACTTGCTTTGCGCTGCGTTCTGAGCACAGGTTAGGTTCTGAGTATATATATTATATATTTTGTTTGGTAATTAACTTCAAGCTGATAGGCAGTCGCGCTTGTAATCAGTATGTATCAGTATGTATGTTTAGCGAGCCTCATTTATTTATATCAAATTTTAATCGCTTGGTGAAATCAAAGTTGTTAAATTATTACTATTCAATGTTCCTCAATGCTTCTCAATTATGGCTTTAAATGAATTCATTTAGTTGTGACAACAACAATTCCAAGAAAATCGAATTTATACAAATAGTAAGCAGTTCGCATGTCTACAAACATATGTACATATATTCACGCAATTCATCAGCATCTTCAGACGAGTGATTGACAAGCGCCCGGATATTAAAATTGGGGGTTGCATTCATTGGTTGGCTTATCTAATATTTCGTAGTAAAATCACTTGAAATACTCAAGTTTTCCGCAATCCACTCACATACATTTACTTTCAAATTGTTAAGTGGAAAATTTTGACGATTAATATTAATGATTTTATTTTGCCAATCATTTCGTCACATTGTGGGAATTCACATATTTAATATAAGGACTAATGGGAATAAATGGTAATACTTTATTAATGGCTGAGTTAAAAATATGTTGAAGAAAAAAAAATGATGGAAAAATTTCGATTTTAGAAAATTTTGATTAGAGGATAATAGAAATTTGTGATTTAGAGTTTGATACCCTGGAATAAGTTTGAAGAAGTTTGTTTTATCACTAAATATTTAAGAATAAAATATTTTAAGAGAGTATTTTTAGACTTCTTATTGTTGCTGTATTTACATATGAGAAATATATGTACATGAGATTACAAATGAAAAAAACAGTAAGATTCCACGAAAAACTATAAGGGTGAGAAACAGAACTCAATTAAAGAGTTTGACTTTCAAAAGAGCGAATGTTGAGTGATTTTTGAATATTTCGGGTAAACACACACTATCCTGCTAAAAATAAAAACACAGTCTAAAGGCACGACTTCAATTTACTATACTTTTAAAGCCGACGGCTTTAGTCGAAATATTCTCGTAAATTACATTGTATTCTCCACAACCGTGTGGGGAGGTTTTTAATATAATTGCATCGAATATTCCCTTCTACCAGTCATATTTCCACTAGTTTTCGTATACAAAAAATGATGTTCTTTGCGAGGTACCCTTTGAAAAGAAGTTGAAATGAAATGCGGTCAAAAGACCCGTAAACCTAATTTTTTCCCTGTAAATATGGCATGTATGATTTCTAGAGAGTTCTTTAGTCTCAGCTGACAAACAGGACTACTGTGCCAATTAGTGGCTGTGACAGTTTAATTGCTTGTTTTGATGTCCAAGCACACATTGCAACCAGACGAGTATAAATACAGGTAACGCAATTCTTTGTATGGGTGATTAGTTTTCTCAGCTACAAAGCGACGTACCGTTGTAAAGCTTTTTCTACGCAAAGCGAAATGACTACTAAAAAAGTGCGCCCAACCGAATCGTTTGGGAAGATTATAAAGTTTTTCCATTTAATTTCTCGCTTGGTCGGTGCTGATGTCGCCGATGAGAATTATCGCGTCAATATTATCACCATTACTTTAATAATCTGCATTGTGGCTTACTTCATCTTTACCGGCACCACAGTGGCCAGTGTCTTTTCGGAAAACTGGACCTACTTGCTGGAAGCGTCCTGTATGGTGGGCAGTGTGTTGCAGGGAATCACTAAACTCATTTCGGCGTTTGCTTTCGCCAAAGAAATCTGTGGCATTCGCATAGAGTTGGAAAATCTGTATCGTGAATATGAAGTGAAGGGCGACGACTACGCCGAGGCGCTAAATAAATCTTGTGAACGTGTGTGGCAAGTCATAAAAATGGTGGGACAAGTGTATTTTGTTGCAGGCGGGGGCATAATATTGATTACCGTCGTTTTGATATTTGCATCTAACGAAAAAGTATTTTTAATGCATTTCATGATACCTGGCATTGATGTCGACACGCAAGTGGGTTATCTGATGACATTGACCCTGCATACTATGTGCTTTCTTTTTGGCGCTTTCGGTCTTTTCGCCGGCGATCTATTCTTTTTACTCTTCTTAGGGCAGCCGATGTTGTTTCTTGATTTGTTGGTGTTGAAAGTGAAGTCGCTAAATGAGGCTGCTGCTGAAAATAGCAGTACCGCTGAACGGCTGCTGATCGATATTATTGAATGGCATCAATACTATACGGAGTGGGTGTTGTGTCACTTTATGAACTTTCCCAATCTAATTTTTTTAAATTTTTTCAGCTATAATCTGCGTTGTAATCGTATCTTTTATTATATAAACAGCATGCAAATCGTCACATCGGGCATCTCAATTATATGCACGCTCTATATTATTCTACTGGGTGACTGGCCTGGAGCGTATCTATATATTCTAATCGCCTTTGGCGGTCTCTATCTATACTGCATAATGGGCACGAAAATTCAAACATGCGTAAGCGATTGATCCAAAGTCTTGTAAAATTACTAGTATTATTCGAATTTATCAATTTTTCTTATATTTTCCGCAGAATACCTCATTTTGCGATGAGCTTTGGAATATAAATTTTTACGATTTAGCGGTGAAAAACCAAAAGATGATAATACCCATTTTAATGAAGGCACAAAATCCAAGTGAGATTAAAGTCGGCGGTTTCTTACCACTCTCCGTACAAACTGCGCTTCAGGTTATAATGAGTTCCTATGTTTTCCAAGCGTATTAAATGGGTTTGATTGATAAAAAAATAATATTGTATTGCTTATTTTCAGATTACCAAAACGATTTATGGTATATTTACCATGATGCTCCGCTTTTTGGAAGAGAACCAATAAAAATATTTTGAGTAGCATATTTTTCATACTCGTATACTCAGCAACTCCGCTAATAATTCAGTAGGGTGCAAAAGTTCTAATCTCAAGTAAATGCACACGCTTAATTAGTATTGACATATGTGTTAAATTGCTCTGTAGCGCTTCACACTTAAATAAATATTCTACATTGTATATTTCATATTTTATTTGTATACCCTGAGCAGAGTATATTAAGGGGCTATACCAGTCCAACTCACTACTACGTCTGCATAACGCTTTCATTTCATGAGCAAATGCATTTTTCCGAAAGGAAGAAGTCGCACGGTGCCATATCAGGTGAATACGGGAAGTGTTTAATGGTTAAAATGTGATTTTCGGTAAATAATCGGTCACAAGCGTCGATCGATTCTGAGCAATTTTTGGTCGTCAGTCAATTTGTGCGGAACAAACTGTGCATACACCTTTCCTAATGCGATAAATCGATGTTCTGGAGATGTTCAATACCATTTCCATAAATTTCAATGCTGATTTTTGATGAATTTACGCACAATCTCGATGGATTTTGCGGTGATCACGGTTTTTGATTGGCCCACATGTTGATCGTCATAAAGGTTTTACCAATTTTAAAACAAAATTTAATGTTGGCTCTTTGCTTGAAGCTCATTTTCGCACCGATAACACAAACATACTGACACTTACAACGCAATATCTTTACTTCCAATCAATAAAATGTTGTCTCACTGGACAATCGATAGAAATAGCAGATTCTAATGCACTAGTCGTCATATAGAGATGGCGCCACCAGGGGGCGCTTGATTCAAAAAGTGCTGTTTAGAAGTTATTAGTGTAGTTTTTTTTAGATAAAAAAGTGAATTTCTCGATGAGTTATGATGTTGTTTCGAAAAAATTGCGTCTAAAGTTTCAACTATCAGATTTATACCTGCGAGTGGCCGCTCTTTATAAAGCTGTCTTTCAAGAAACTATTCAAGATACGAACTTGCCGATTTGATATCGATCTGAAATTTTGCACACGCTGTTTCCTTCATAAGAAGCTACTTCTTTGTTAGCACCTCCGATATTGGAAAACTATAGGATATAGCCGTCAAACAAACTGATAGAAGTTCTTGTATAGAAAACTTTTTTATTTGACATGATATCATCACCAAATGGCGCATTGCCCAAAAAACGGTATAATCTCCGAACAAATTGTTCTGGTCGGACCACTGTTGCATATAGCTACCATTCCAACTGATCGGTCGAAGTTAAAAAAATTCTTTATGATACATACATCATTTTTCTTTATTAAATAATCATTAAGATGAATGTTTTGAAGTTTCATTTGAGGCAACACAATTTAGTTAACCTCCGTTGAATTAAAAATTCAAAATGTGGTTATTTCCGACATTAAAACTTCAAATCAAATCTAAACTTCATGTATGAGTCACTGCGCGCCGATATGTAGGCAATACTTTTGAAAGCATGAAAGTATTGCTGGTTCACATTTATCAACTTTCCAATGAAAAACGTATGTCATTATCCCACTTAGTCGTATTAAAGATAAGCAGAAATGTATCATAAAACGGTAAGATTTGAAAAGAAAAATTCGTAAATAAATTTTATTTTTTTAAGACAGCACTACTAATTCAAATAAAGTGTAGTYTACTCGTGAATATTTCTGAATACATCTTGTTGTACAATTGTACTTATTTTGATTGAATATTTTGTCGAGATTGCGATCTTCACTGTTCTTCATCCAAAAATCCCAACATCATAGTGAAAATGCCGTAAATTGTTTTTGTTATCTGAAATTAAATAAATCGTAAAAAAATATTTGCGTTTGGAGGTCTAGGAACCAGAGTTACTTGAAGTGCAGTTTGAACGGAGAGTGGCAAGACGCCTCCAATTTTGATCTCGCTTGGATTTTGTGATTTCATTAAAACTAGTATCATCATTTTGCGCCCTTTCACATCCAATTCGTACCAATTTATGTTGTACAGTTCCTCAAAGAATGTCTCGTTCTTTAAATAAAAAATAAAAAAAAAACAATAAATAAAATAAACTTTGATTAATATTCCAGATGTTTTATTGGCCTTGTTTTGGTTACTTACACACGTTTGTATATTCGTGCCAATAATGCAGTACAGGTAGAGGCCACTTAATGCTATTAAAATGTACAAATACGCACCCGGCCAGTCTCCCATTAGTATAATGTACATAGTGAAGACGATTGAGACGCCCGACGTCAGAATTTGCATAGTGATTATGTAATAGAATAACTCATTACAACGTTCATTGTAACTGCAATTGCAAAAATTATACAATATAAGAAGTGTATTGAGATTCTGCAGATACTGAAATCAGTCTTACTCCGTGTAGTATTGATGCCATTCAATGATACTAATTAATAGGCTTTCAGTTTTATTGTTCTTTTGGGCGGCCGCTTCGTTAAGCTCGTGCACTTTCAATATCAAAATGTCGCGAAATAACTCGGGTTGCCCCAGATAAATAAGGAAAAACAAATCACCGCCGAAGAGGCCAAAAGCGCCAGCTAGAAAACATAGCGAATGCAAAGCTGTTGTCAATAGATAACCGAAAGACGTCTCAACGTCCACGCCGGGTATGAAGAAGTGCATAATATATATTTTCTGATTTGCAAAGAACACCATAAAGCTTGTAAGCAGTAGATTTCCAACAATCGCCGCGCCGTAAATAAGTCCTACCATTTTTATGAGCTGCCACACGCGGTCGCAACACGCATTCATTACCTTACAATATGACTCTCCTTTGGACTCATATACACGATAAAGTTCTTCCAATTCTAAGCGCATGCCGGAGACTTCATTGGTGCGGCTGATGCCCGAAATGAGTTTAGTGATGCCTTGCAATACGCTGCCCACCATACATGATGCCTCGAGTAGATATGTCCAATTCTCCGAAAAGACACTGGCCACTGTGGTTGCGGTGAAGATGAAGTAAATGATAATGCAGACTATCACAATAATGGTGATGATGTTGACTTGATAATTCTCCGTGGAGACATCTGCGCCGACCAAGCTGGAAATAAAGCGAACCGTCTTCACGAGCTTAGCAAAGGATGCAGTAGGTTTGATGTGTTTAATAGTCATTTCGCGTCTGTGATAAAGTGGAAATTTCGATAACAATAAGCTTTTGATTCAGAAATGGGATTCCACTGCGTATTTATACCCGTGAGAAAGCTCAGTTTACGCGTCAAAACAAGCAATTAAACTGTCAGAATAATAATAGCCGTTTATTTAATAATCCATAGTGGACAGCGTGTAAGAATTGTACACCTCATATGCGAGTTTTTGTACTGTGGGTCGTGCTCCGATACGTTTCACACAGATTATTATTGGTGTTCACGCTGGATCCAAGATAGACGAAATTATCTACGATTTCGAAGATATGTCAAGAGTGAAGTTGAAGCCTAGTCGCGAGGAGAAATTTCGTCTTGCCCTCGTTCACTAGCAGACCCATTTGCTTCGCTTCCTTATTATATGTCTACAAAACTATTTTTCGAGATTTAAATTATATTCGGAGATATGTATATGTAGGTATACCGACACATGCTTAAACCCAAAACTTGTCCGATTTACTTGAAATTTTTAGAGAATCTTCTTTATAGACTTGTCTATGTCGGGAATTAAGCATATATCCATAAAAGTGGTACAAAAATTTTTTTTTTTGTCAGGCAATCGTCATTTCGTGAGCTCTGTTTTCCCTATTTATCCGTATTACCAGACATAACATCATTATACTTGACTAATATTATTTTGTGGTTTCAGTTTGCTGGGAAGATTGAATTCGTGGGTAGGGCTTGAAGAAAAATCAAAACATTTCCAATAACACCTGCTGCCACGTGATTTCCCTACTTATTGTGAAGATGCTAGCACGTTTGGCAACCGATAAGCACATTCAGACAGACATACACACATGCGCGTTCATCACCTCGTACATTTCCATCTGCAGATCGACTACTGCACACAACACTGTGGAACCTTCTGAATTTTGAACATATCATTACCATTTTATCACTTTGATCACTGCTGCTGATGCACATCTGTACATACATATGTGCATCTCTCATATTACCAAACCAATCCGTTTTTATTTCAAATAGGATTTTTCTGCCCTCCCTCCGTAACACATACACACAGTTCACTCGTTGAGCACGAGTGTGAGAAGTAGCGAGCGCGTATGCTTATTATTCTACGCGTTCAAATGTGTTTATTGGTTTTTCTTACTACCGTAGAACGTGCCAGCATTCTTCAATTTTGTCTTCTGTGTTTTCATGTTGCAATCGGCGAAGGATTGCGCCGTAAGTAGTCGATAATATGCACAGCTCGTCTTTGTGGGGCGGGTAGTCATATGAGTAGATGCATAAATACAGCTGGTAAGCAGTCTCGCTCGGGCTCGGGTTTGTGCACATACTCACTTACTTGTGGGTGTTTTTCTTTGGCGAAAAGCTGCAGTATTGGCAAATAAAGCGATCTTTATTGGAAGGCGCGACATGGCAAGATGTTTACAATTACATTGCCAAATTGTGAGGGCGTGCACAGCGGTGGTGTCCCGGTAGGCGTTATGTCTATCCGAGCAGCTGAAAATTTGACAAATTGTGGTTTTGTTCTCTGAAAATTTCTTAAGTGTACAAAATTAAGCGATAACCCATGGATCAGTTAGCTCTGTGTCGTAATTTTCATATCTTTTTCTTCTTTGCTGGCGTAGACACCACTTATGCGATTATAGCGAAACCAGCTGTTTCTCCTGGTCGCTCCAACGGAGTGGAGGTCTTTCTCTTTCCGGAGCAGGAGCTCTTTAATCGATTCGGCGGTATTCGACGTGGCCAATACGCAGAGGACCATAAATCTTCCGCAGAATCTTTCACTCGAAAACTTGTAACGTCGACTCATCATCATCATTTTGTCATCGTTCATGCTTCTGCACCAAATAGCTGGACGGAAATAATGAGTGACTTACAGAGTTTGGTTTTTGATATATGTATA